CTATACATATTAAACGTACTACATACTTTTATCATCTTGATCAATATTTATGAAGCATAAAATGATCAAATGTATGAGTAATTTTTCATTTTTATGTAGAAAAATCTTTTTATGTATTGTCATCATTTTGTATTTTTATATCATTCAAGCAGTTCTGTATACTATAGCAAGTAATACCTTGTAGTGTAGGAGATATTTTAAGATTTATGATGACGAAGAAAAGAAATGTGAAATATATATGTGACGTGAAACCTTTGCAACAACGCTACATTTTCATTCTACTGCAGCTTATCGCTACATAAGATTCACCTTCATACAATGTCTTCCCCACGAAACAACGATTAGAATTTGGATGCGTAATATTGATGTTGAGCCGGGAATTTGCGAACAAGCAATTGAAGTAGTTCAAAGAGAAGTTTCCATTGCCAAAGAAAGAAACAAAAAATTAGCGTTTGATTTAGCTTTAGATGAAATGAGCATTAGAAAAAGAATAATAGATTTCGTCAATGGAAAGACTGAAGGTACTTGAAATGCACAAAGATTTAATATACAGTATGATAGAAAAAATATCAGGGGAAGTAAATATTCTGTTCGAAAGTGCCAATACGGTGATGAGCCGAATTTTCTTTTCAAGGTCATTTTTTTCGAGATTTCAAGGTCACCGTATTTTTTTAAATGGGACTGCATATTTTCACTATAAGAGTCTTATAGCCTATAAAAAAGCAAATCCAATGAGGTGCAACATGTTGACGTTCACGTGATCTTTAGCGAGGAAATTACTTAGAGCATATACTACATGGAGGAAGCACGCCTATGGAAAAAGTGTAGACAACGGTGAGAGAGAGAGAGATGATGGTTTGGGTACTACCTTTCTCTCTCGCGTACGCACGTGATTTCGCGCCGTTTAGGATAATTCGAAGCTCGCGCTGCTCTGCCTCAGGAGTCTCAGGACTCCAGGACAAAGTATTTTACGAGCCTTTGTCAATATTTGCCCCATGTGTTGTCTCTCTTCTTCCCTGTCTTTCGAGCCTTCCCCTGAAATGACCGTTTGCTGTTTGAAGAGAGAAACTAGCGGAAGGGCGTTTTTGTGAGGGATCGAGACGGCATTTTGGCTCCTAACTCAGAGGTTAACTCCGGAAAAATTTTCTAAACGACAAAATGAATTCCAAGCTGTCTTGTATTTTTAAGTGTGAAAGTGTTTCTGATGAAATTAATAAATTTACCGAAGACCATTTAAAACAGTGCCGCGAAAGACTCCGTATTCGTGTTGCATTAAACATGAAATACAGCGACATCGTTTTTCCTGAATGTGTGGACGCTTCTCATGGATATCACTCCAAGTGCCGAAAAAATTTCTTGGCAATGCCGAAGAAATACATTGAAAAATATGAAGAACTTGCTAGTGAAGTAAATGCTAGTCCCACTTCAGTTGCTGTAACTTCGACATCATTTGCAAATATCTCAGGTAATTTATGTAAAAATTAATTGTAAAATAACATTTCTTAAATTATTCAGATATTTATATTTCGGTAATAATATATAAGTATTAATAATTGTTTTTAAATTTTTGTGATACGTAAACAAAATCATATTTTCAGACAGCGGTAATATTGAAGAAGGAGCGGAATCAGCCCAAGCTATGTTTTTGTCTGTTGATCGTGAAGAGGAGGAAATAAGTGGTCAGCAGGGACGTAGTGTCCACGAGGACGCGAATAGCGCAAGAAATCAGAGAAGAGCCGAACGAATTTGTTTTTTTTGCGATAAACATCGAAAAGTGTATAATCATCGCATATTACCCCTTCACTCATCGGTGGCTGGAAAATTAAGAAACAATATTTGTAGAATTGCGAGTGCTGGTACAGATCGCGAAATCGAGGGCAAATTAGATGCTTTAAATGTAAATGATACAATTTATTATCATCTCCCATGCAGACAGATGTATCTCCGAAAGTACGTTATCACTCGAGTAACTCATAACACTGATTGGCATAAAAAACAGAAATTTCACGAATTGACATACTCGGATATTTGTGGATTTGTTGAGACGAATATAATAAATAACAAAGAATGTCATTTATTACAATTTCTCACAGATTGTTATAATGAAATTCTTGAAAATTTCTATGTTGAAGAATTTCAATATTTCGATGCTAAATATACTTCTCAACATCTTTTAGAAAAATTGAACAAAACTTTTGGCGACAAAATTCAAGTTATTTTAATACACCAGAAAAAATTAATTGCTCCAAGGGATGGCTGTGTTATTGATGATGAAACGTTTTCTCGATTTCATGATTTTGAATTGTTATCTCGGGCTGCTTTGATGTTGAGAAAGAAAATATTATTAACACCGAAAAAACCACGTCAAATCAGTGACATTACTGGAAGAGAATGGGAAATCCCAAAAGATCTCGCGGATTTCATGCAACATCTTGTGTGTGGCATTGATTCGAGGACGCAAAAAAGCTCGGATTGCGCGGGTAGAGTAGATTCCATTTCACAAGATATTATGTATGCGGTACATCATGGAAGAACGAAGACCTCGAAACATGACTTTAGGAACGACGCTCAAAAGCATAGTTGAAAAGTTGTCGATCTTATGAACAAGTTTGGGCATTCCTGTAGTTACAATGCAGTTGAGGAGGTTGGAACAGAAGCTACGTCTTCCACATGAAACGTACTCAACGTTTCTTCTGAAGATGCGATACTAGCACCAAATTTTTGCAAAGGTATTACGTTTGATAATTTTGATCGTTTTGTTGAAACGACTAACTGCAAACATACCTTGCACGATACGGTCGGTATTTTATATCAAAATATTAGCGAGATTGACAACTGTGCGCTTAATGAAAGTCAGGACGTTACAAGCATTTTGGAGTATCAATCAGCTGCCAAAAGGAGGAGAATATTAGATCCGATTGTGCCCGAATTGCAGCATTACACGAAAAAACCGGTTTTTCGCGAGAAATTATTACCACTTGATAGCGCTTTACGTGTAGTAACAGCGAGTATTTATAATTTATATAATACATAGCGATTACGTGTAGTAACAGCAAGTACATATAATTTTTATAAACAAATAGATACTGCATGGGTTTTATCCTGTTACTGTAAAATACCTGATACTCCAATGTGGGTTGGATTTAATCATAAGATTAAAGAAGATAACATTGTACAGCAACAGATCTCCTATCTCACGCCGATCAATGCATCTCCAACAAATCCCTCCGTCATATACGAAACAATGAAGTCAGCAGATTGGAGAGAGTGTCAATAGACTTATATGCAAATCACATACGACTTAGCGATTATAAAAATTGCTTGTCAAATTCAATCCGTAAAAAAACATAATTTTTATGACCTTTTTATACACATAGGTCCGTTTCATACAATGATGACCTATTTTAAAGCTGTAGGAAAATTCATCGACGAGAGTGGATTAAGGACGTTAGTCCCGCTCAGTTGGTCTCAATCATTTCAAGTGTTGCCACGTAGTGATACACATATTAAATAGAAACAAATGGTTGAGAATCTTTGGCCCTCTAATACATCGCACAGCGTATACATACGCACTTACACAAGCTTACACAGAAGAGCCGTTGCCGCTATTGGCTACACTATCCCCTCCCTCGCCGTTCTCAAGAACGCGTTGTACAAAAATACCATACTTCATCTAAGAATTTCTACTAAACGAATCATCAAAATTTTCTGATTTTTTTTTTAATACAATTGTAATAAGTTAATTTAGCATGTGTCAGTTTTTTGAAAATATCTATAGAACCGTTTTTCCTTAAATTACTGAAATCCATCATTTTACTGGCCTTTTCTCGTTTTCACATGGTAAAGTT